AGGGAGTTTGGAATCTAGGGAGTTTGGAATCTAGGGAGCTTGGAATCTAGGGAGTTTGGAATCTAAAGAGTTTGGAATTTGGGAAGCTTAGAATCTAAGGAGTTTGGAATCTGGGGAGTTTGGAATCTAGGGAGCTTGGAATCTAGGGAGTTTGGAATCTAGGGAATTTGGAATCTAGAGAATTTGGAATCTAGAGAATTTGGAATCTAGAGAGCTTGGAATCTAAGGAGTTTGGAATTTGGGGAGTTTAGAATCTAAGGAGTTTGGAATTTGGGGAGTTTAGAATCTAGGGAATTTGGAACTTAAGTAATTTGGAATCGTGGGCGTTTGCTATCTAGGGAATTTGGAATTCTGGAATCTAGTAATCTAGTAACCTAGTAATCTAATAGTCTAGTAATCTACGAATCTAGTGATCTAAGAATACAGTGATCTAAGAGTCTAGCGACCTCACAATAGAAAGATATAAAAACAAAACTTTCTAGGGATTTACAAATATACCACCCTAAGAATATAAATCTAGAAATGTCGAAATATACGTGCACATATGACGTGTTTCACTTTCGTAGTACCTACACGTATCACTACAATAATCGTGTCATATATCACAAGTAAAAATAGCACTTTCTAAACAAAAGTACGTATGCGCATGCGTCGTGGCTCATCATTACGAACAGCTTGCATACACTGCTCCTCCGATTTCACGTAATTAGTATATTAGTCACTGACTAAGTGTATTTTCACTCGGAACTATATAATTAACCAGAAAAAAGTTCAGGCTAAAAGTTGAATCTAGATTTGCCCGATGACACAAGAAACGCACACGAAACCTACACGTAACCAAAAGTGTCCTGTTTAAAAAGGTTACCGGTCGAAGACTTTCGCTGCTAGCTTGACACTGCTCTACTTCCGGTGTTCGAGAAGAGAAAGGGGGAGAAAAGCACCAACTGAGTCAGCCTTCAACCACGCGCACGTTCAAAAACTACTCGCCGTATATTGCAAATTAATGCAAATATACGGCACTGTTACTTTTTACGCTTACGCAAATCGCCCACGATGTTTGGGATACTAATCATTATTATGTGATCAAATTATACAATCAAGTCTTTATGGATAATTTTTTAGAAAGAATATTATAGTATATTTAAAAAAATTTTTAAATAATGAACAGTATGTATACAAATAATTTTTATTTCTTTTTTCAACAATTGTATACATATTATTTGTTAAAGAAATATTTACAAACATCAAATTAACTAATTTCATAAACTAACATGATTAATGTATATATTATATCATATTACAATCAATAAGAATAAGTTACAACAAATTTAATGTCCACATATATAATATAAATATATAAAATCATGAATGAGGTAGAAAAGATCAACATAACCTATACACTACACATCATCAAAATTGACGAAATTAAAAATATTGTAACAACACAAAAAATTATGATTTTGATAGCACATCTTATGTGTACACCCATTGTAGTCACACAAAGAAAAATGATACTGGCTATACACTCATATCCACAAGCTCTTTTGCATGAACTTTCACTGAAAGAGGTTTTGCTACCAAATGTGGGTCAAGTTAGAAAAACTTTTGTGCAAACGATATCTCGTTCGCTGGATAAAAGACGCTGGAAATAGGTCGAAGACATTCTTCTTCTAATATCTCGTTGATCTGGAGAAGTTGGCGAGAACTTTCGCTGATATCCGGTCTCGACTGGACTTCCGGTATTCACAGTAGGCAGACCGAGACCGTGCGTCAGTCTCCGACGAATGTCGTGATTCAACCTCGCTCCGTTTACGTCTCATTGTAGCTCTCTCGGACGATGATTAAGAAAAAAAGAAAGTCGTGTGCCTAACCTAACCTATGCCAAACGGACGGACCTTCGCCCACGGATCTACTTTCTTGAGAAATTACTGGAATCTAATGATGGAATGTGCGTTACACCATATTATTTTTGTTTAGGGCCATATATCGGGAGGGAGATTAAGGTTAATTGTTGTTTAGTGGATGTTGTGTTTGAAGTGTGGGAGATTTGGAGATTTGGGGATTTTGAGATGTGAGAGTTTAGGGATCTAGGGATTTTGGGTTGTGAGAATTTGGGGATGTGGAGATTTGGAATTTTGGAAATTTGAAAGTTGAGAAATTTGGGTATTTGAGGATTTGGGGATCTGGGAATTTTGGGATGCGAGAATTTGGGAATCTAGGGAGTTTGGGATATGAGAATTGGGGGATCTAGAGATTTTGGGATGTGAGAATTTGGGGATGTGGAGATTTGGAATTTTGGAAATTTGAAAGTTGAGAAATTTGGGTATTTGAGGATTTGGGGACTTAGGGATTTGGGGATGTGAGAATTTGGGGATCTAGGGATTTTGGGATGTGAGAATTTGGGGATATAGGGATTTGGAATTTTGGAAATTTGAAAGTTGAGAAATTTGGGTATTTGAGGATTTAGGGATCTGGGAATTTTGGGATGCGAGAATTTGGGAATCTAGGGATTTGGGATGTGAGAATTGGGGGGATCTAGAGATTTTGGGATGTGAGAATTTGGGGATGTGGAGATTTGGAATTTTGGAAATTTGAAAGTTGAGAAATTTGGGTATTTGAGGATTTAGGGATCTGGGAATTTTGGGATGCGAGAATTTGGGAATCTAGGGATTTGGGATGTGAGAATTTGGGGATCTAGGGATTTTGGGATGTGAGAATTTGGATGTCTAGGAATTTTGGGATGTGAGAATTTGGGGATATAGGGATTTGGGGTTTTAGAAATTTGAAAGTTGAGAAATTTGGGTATTTGAGGATTTAGGGGTTTTAAATATTTAGGGCTTTGGGAATTTGGGGATTTTAAAATTTGAAAATTTGGGGATTTTAAGATTGGAAGATTTGGAGATTTTTAAAACTTGAGAATTTCGAACTTAAAACTTAAAACCAAAAATTTGTGAATTTCAGTACTTAGCCATCTCCCAGCTCATTCATTTCATACCTCTCCAACGTGTCCCAACACATATAGGGATGAAATCCGCAAACCCGCGCCACATCAACAATTCCCAATACGATTTCGCTATTCAGCGCTTTCAGCGAATTTTCTCCACCGTTTCTGGAAAATACGTCGAAGAATCTTAATTAATTTTTCCAGCAGGTGACGACCAAACCGACGAGACTAGCAAAGGATTTTGGTGAAAGCCGACGACCCCAAGAGGGGAGAGTATATAGGCTGCGTTTCGTTTCTGGTGAGCTCACAACGAACTAACTCGTCGGCGTGTATCGTCCGTTACGTTTTATTATTATTTTTTTTTTTTAATTAATCGACCTATCGGCACCCGGATTCCCTTTCGTTCAATTCAGGCTTTGTGAACGACGTCTAAGCAACGCAAGAAACTACGAGCTGCGACGACCGAATCATAAGTGCCAAGTGTGTGTGCCAATAGGATTATAATCCGACCTTATCATCGAAGGAACAAAATACGAGCAAAAGGTTGGTGATAATGTGATCAGTGATACATAACGGCATGGTGGTGCATTTTTTAAGTAAATCATTTTTAAAACGTGACGATATTTCTATTTGATGTGATCAGTTGGAGATTCTTTCTGTGGTGTTCTCTCGTTTTGGGGATGAATTGTTTTCTTTCTTCTCGAGAATCAGGCTGTTGATAATTACGAGCTGTTCGATGTTGTTTTAATGGAAGAGACTTTCTTTGCGATGTAGTTTAATGAGCATTATGTTCAAAAGGGGTAAAAAGTGGGTCGAATCGCTGATGGATGACTGTATCATGTAACTGATATGGTCTGAAGCTTATTTTGAATTAGGGTTTCATGGATTTTAATATTTGAATGTTGTTCAAAACTATATCTTTTACATGTAAGGAGGAACTTGTACTGTACTCGTTAACTGTTCGGTAGGAGTTTGTACTGTTCTCGTTAATTGTGCTATAGAAACTTCTACTGTACTTGCTAAATGTACTTCAGAACCATACTTGATAATTGTGGTATAGAAATTGTCTTCTAGTACAAATCCGACTTGTTATTAATTGTACTTGTTATGAAAATTATACCATTCTTCATAACTGCGTGACTGGACTTATACTATACTTGTTAACTGCACTTCAAAAATTGTACCATTCTTGTTAATTGTGTTATAGGAATTGTCTTCTGGTACAAATCTGATGACTTCTTATTAATTGTACTATAAAAATTATACTGTTCTTCTTAACTGTGTTATAAGACTTATATTGCACTTGCTAACTGCACTTAAAAAATTGTAACATTCTTATTATAATATAGGAACTATTTTCCTTTGGAAGACTTGTAAACATTGAACTCATTGTACTTGTTGTACAAGTTTGCAATTGTACTACAAAAATTGTACCATACTTGCTAACTGTGCTATGAGTCTAGTACTGTACTTGCTAACTGCATTTTCAAAGTTGCACCATTCTTGTTAATTGTGTTATAGGACCTATTCTCCTCTGGTACAAATGTGAAGACTTGTAATCATTGAACTCATTCTACTCATTATACAAGTCTATAATCGTCCTACAAAAATTGTACCATACTTGCTAACTGTGCTATAAGTCTTGTACTACACTTGCTAACTGCACTTCAAAAATTGTACCATTCTTTTTAATTGTGATATAGGAACTGCCCTCCTCTGCAAGACTTGTAATCACTAAACTTATTGCATTGGTATACAATCATCCTATAAAAATTGTACCATACTTGGTAACTATGCTATAAGTCTTGCACTGTACTTGCTAACTGCACTTCAAAAATTGTACCATACTTGTCAATCGTATTATATAAATACTCTTCTACTACAACTACAAAGATTAATTATACAATACTCGTTAATCATCCTATAAAAAGTGTCCACAAGTGTCTTCAGATACAAAACATGAACACCTTTAACTCTCCTCAGTACTCTGCATAAAACGAACTCGTCATTGCTCCATACACATACAGTCATAAAATAGAAAACTACATAAAAAATCTGAAAAGTTTTTGGGGAAGATGCTCCAGACGGATGTGTTCGTTACATCGTAACTTCCTTCTTGTCCCCACTCAGGTTCCTCTGAATACACGTTGAGAAGGCAAAAGGGTATGTGGGGTAGCGAGTCAGTGTGTCAGCGTTCTCACGTCTCTCTTCGAGGCGTCCTTCCTTCTCCGGTTCTATGTCGAGAATAAGGCCGCGTGTAGGCAGAGAAAGATCCTCCAACGAACTCTTCGCAACGGAGACAGACACACTGCTCGATACGTGCCGACAAAAAGGACGGATTCATTCTGAATTTCACCAGAACGATTCTCCACATCTATCCCGTCTATGCAAGATGAGTCTCCTGATAAATGGCCGATGATTTAGAACCATAATCGAGTTCAATGGTCGACTTCCGAGTCATAGAAACACTTATTCTTCTTCACATCTCTTTTCCTCTTTTTTTTGAAAATTTACTTCCTTTTTTTTTGTGCAAGTTTTTGCAGAGCAAGTTTTTTAGAACAAGTTTTTTTGGAGCAAGTCTTTAAAAATATTTTATAGATATTTTTAATTTTAGTTAAAATAGCAGGTATTGTTTAAGTTCTGGGTATTTTATTTTTGACATTCAGTTTTTTTTGCAATAAATTTTTGTCTGTCTCTTTTTTATTTCAAAATACTTTTACATGTTTTATAAATTGATGCTGTTTTAGATGATTTTCTAAAAATCTTTTCTCTTTATTTTTTTAAAGATTTTGTTTCTAAAAATCTTTTTTTTGTTTCTTTAATAATATTTTTTTTTTTTATTTAATTTATAATATTGTGTTATGAGAGTACATATTTGATTTATTTTTAATAAAGAGAATTTAAAAGACGTTTAACTTGAAGATTTCATTTTGTATAGGTATGTACAGAGCAAGCTTATACATCATTTTGGCTGTTTCATCAACACCGTCTATGTGCTTTAATTAATAACGAGGTATTTTAATTAATCTCTCAACAATCTCATCAGTCTCCGTTCAAAACCAAAGGAGTAACGTTGGTACCGCTGTGTAATCATTCCGTGGCGGTTAGGTTAGGATGTCGTCGGATAATTTCCTGGAATCAGCAGAAATACCATCGAAAGCATTTTCTCGAGGATCGAGGTTCGTCCCTTTAACAAGCGAGACGAATATTCGTGAAAGTTTCTGAGCAACCGCTCGTGTCCATGCGAGATCAATTTTCTGCAGGGCCGACGTCGCCTTAATTTCCCGCTTTCTGCCTCGTATTAACAGGAAACTGTGAAGGAGGAAAAACCGTGACGAGAAAAATTATTTCCAACATAATCATAAGTTTCTAGTCATATTCAATGCTTTTCTAATTTTAACTAATTCTGATTTTTTAAATTGACGAAAATTCTAACCTTCAAATTTAACATCTGCACTAGTTGTGCAAATGTTTAATGATTATTAAAATTGGACCTCAAAGTTGAACATGTATACTAGTGTTGTTATTAGCTTTTGATCAGAACATCTGTTTTATTATATGTTGTTTAATGATCATTAAAATTGGACCTCAAAGTTGAACATGTACATTAGTGTTGTTCTTAACTTTTGATCAGAACATTTTTTTTATTAAATGTTGTTTAATGATCATTAAAATTAGACTTCCAATATGAACATGTACATTAGTGTTGTTCTTATCTTGTGATTAGAACATTTTTTTTATTAAATGTTGTTTAATGATCATTAAAATTAGACTTCCAAGATGAACATGTACATTAGTGTTGTTCTTATCTTGTGATTAGAACATTTTTTTTATTAAATGTTGTTTAATGATCATTAAAATTAGACTTCCAAGATGAACATGTACATTAGTGTTGTTCTTATCTTGTGATTAGAACATTTTTTTTATTAAATGTTGTTTAATGATCATTAAAATTAGACTTCCAAGATGAACATGTACATTAGTGTTGTTCTTATCTTGTGATTAGAACATTTTTTTTATTAAATGTTGTTTAATGATCATTAAAATTAGACTTCCAAGATGAACATGTACATTAGTGTTGTTCTTATCTTGTGATTAGAACATTTTTTTTATTAAATGTTGTTTAATGATCATTAAAATTGGACTTCCAATATGAACATGTACATTAGTGTTGTTCTTAGCTTTTGATCAGAACATTTTTTTTTATTAAATGTTGTTTAATGATCACTAAAATAGGACCTTGAAGTTGAACATGTACACTAGTGTTGCTCTTAACCTTTGATCAAAACATCTGCTTTATAAGATATTGTTTAATAATCATTAAACTTGGACCTTGAAGTTGAACATGTACACTAGTGTTGTTCTAAGCCTTTGATCAAAACATCTGCTTTATCAGATATTGTTTAATAATCATTAAAACTGGGCCTTGAAATTGAACATGTACACTAGTGTTGCTCTTAACCTTTGATCAAAACACCTGCTTCATCAGATATTGTTTAATAATTATTAAAATTGGGCTTTGAAGTTGAACATATACACTAGTATTCTTCTTAATTTTAGGTTAGAACATCTGTTTTAACAAATGCCATTTAATAATAATTAAAATAAGACCTTTAAGTAGAACATGTACACTAGTGTTGTTCATAGCTTTTGCTCACAACATGTGTTTCATCAAACATCACTTAATAATCATTCAAACATAACCTTGAAGTTAAACATGTACACTAGTGTTGTTCCCAGTGTTTGATACAAAATGAATCCCATCTTAATTAAATCAAGACCCTGAAGTTGCACACGTGTTCATCTGTTCCACGCAAAACTCTGATCAAATTTAATTAAACCAAGAAGTCATACATCTACCACGTTACCCCATAAAAAAGAACAACCAAAGACCTTGAAATTATTGCGAAAATATTGGAAATGTAGATTTCACAGGGGTTTCCGAAATGCCGTAGTGCCATTAACTTTCCATCGATAAGTGGAACAACGTAACCATTAGCATGCTCTGACCATCTTATTTCTGTTTTTTTACCTTCACATTCTTTCGTCCTCGTCACTTTCACAACAGAGGACAGAATTTCGCACCGTCCATGGTTCCGCGCCGTGTCCGCTAGCTTATGGGGTTTCACCTGGTGTGCTCGGTATAACGGTACCCCGTTACGTCACGTGCTCACACCTGTCACGGTCTGGACAAAGGGTTGCACCACCGGTCGTTGCATATACTAATAACAACGATACGAGAGAGAGAAGAAAAAACGGAGGAAGGTATAACTCGAGGAAGCCGCGTCGCCATATCTGATTTCCGTGACGAGGAAACTGGGACTCCTCTACCTTCTTGTTTCCTTTAGCGCAGTGACGTATACGAAACGCTTGAGCGCCCAGGGCGAGAACCCGTCCGCAGACCTTGATTATTTTAGATCGGGCTTCTTGCGAAAACCGTACTGGCAGTCGTATAAATATTTCTACGAGATGAATTTGCTGGGTTACTGTTTGCGGAAGAAATATGACATGCTGATGTTGGGACATGAGACTGCGTTTGGATTAGGAACTTACTGATTTTTACATTTATTCATTTTGAAGTTTATTGGTTCTCACTTGTGTATCTGTCACTCGTTGAATTGTTAATTATGCTTCTGGTGTATTTAAATTCATTAAAGAGTCAAGTTAAGATGGTTACCATATTTCCATAATTATATCTGAACATTTGTTATAATTGAACGGCAGCCATCTTGTATTGAACATATTCATATTCATAACATAATGAGGTAGCCATTTTCTTTCACATATTACTCTCTGTGTGAACACTACACATATCAAAATTGTCTATCACTTATTACAATCGACATGCAATGATTTTATAACATAAACATTAACGAAATTTTCCTCAAACTTCAAACAAAAATCTGATATGAGCGCAATTTTACGTCACCAAAGTCGGCCATCTTGTTCTCCCTAATCCGCCATTTGCTGCGCGGTCTAATAAAGTTATTATTCTCAGAGCTTAATGATCTACTATTATAACTAACCTAACTATTAATATTATATATTAGTATGATAAAATTGGTGATAAATTACACCCCCACCAAGAAGCGAACGTTAACGGCTGTCGATTTGAAACGATTTCAAGCCGACAGTTTGTTGGTTGCCTTTCGTGAACTCGATTCCATTGGGTGTCATTTTTCTCGGCGTCTACGCGTCGTATTTAGGACGTGAGATATAAAACGACACGTTCTCGACACGCACCGCATTCATCCTCCATTTCTCCGGATAAAGGTGTGCGAATTACTGCCACGGTAATTGGAGAAAATGTATTCCTGGAGTGGAAGAAATGCCGATTCATTGTATTCAACCGCGAGCGATTTCATCCAACTTTTTTGTTAACCGATTCTCAGATCGTTCGCATATTTGTCCAACAATCGTTCATCGTTTTTTTTTGTTAACCTTCGTTTCAATCGCAACACGAAAAATTACAGGAAATGTTTTTATACCATTGTCATAGGAATTGTTGAAAACGTAAGAAACTTCCTTAAACTTCCTGCTTGCTTTAGGTGACATTCGTGGAAAATTTCACATGCTTTTTCCTTGAACTATGGTTTCTAAACTGATCGTTAACATAGACATTTTGTGTTCTCTTAATATTCTGATAATGGACGTTCATTTAGGAATAATCTTGTAATACGTAAATATTTTTTTAAAGGAATATTTAAAATATTTGTTCAAAACTTTTACATCTAAGCTGCTTAATATGTACATTGATGTGTATACCTTAAGTGTACATATTATACATCTTAGATTTATATTACTTAATATAAATTAATATATAAATTACTTAATATACATTACTTAATACAAATCTAAAATAAAAATAGCCAATGTCTTAGCCAATTAAAAAATATTAATATTCAGCCAATTCACGTGCGACTCACATCATCATAAAAAATACCTATCTTCACATATCTGTCAGCATAAAATAATTTAAAAAAGGAGTAAACGATTTCCATTTTCTAACGGGTCCGCAATATAATTGGAAGCACACATTCGTAGCTCAAACAAGCTGACTAGGCAAAAATGCCAGAGCAAAATAGGTTAAGATTTCGAATACGTGTCCACATATGTAAATTTCGAAGCTACACAACAAGATCCCGTGTCAAACGAATGGACCTGTTTTTGATTCGAGCACATGACTAACTAGATAAAGATTTGGGTATCCGGAACAAAATTCTAGGATACCATGTGTTCATGAATTTTTTGATGAGCCACCGAGTGTGGCGCCAATACGAAAGATTAATTTTTTGGGGCCGCTTTCTCCTAATAGCCCGCCTTTCTACCGGATCCAATTTATGATCTGCATCTGTTACCACAAATGTGTTCCTTTATCGATTTCATTTTGATACGCTGTTTTACACATAACAAGTGGCGAGTTTGAAATTTCCTCCCAAGGTGTTTTATATCTTTACGATAACTTTCGAACGAATTAACTGCTGATTTGTTAATCGTTCACACGGGATATTGCTCTTTGTTCGTACTTTACTGGGTCACTCGCGTGAGAACTCTTACAGATTCGCTGTACAAATGAAATTAAGAACTTTGTTCAACGTGTGTGTGAGGAAAAGTGAATGCTGATGTACGAATTTAGTGTCACGAAAGCAAAATTTAGAGGGATTTTTTAAGTTATGAGCTTTTGTTAGCCATTTTGTATTATAAACTGTACTGATTATTTTGTTATTTTTCTTAAATTTTGAACATTACATTGACATACCACACTTGTTAGTTTGAGAAGAGTTTTTAACCAACAAATTGTGTTCTTACATTTCAAAATCTACATTACATTTTACTGCAGTAGCAGTCGGCCATTTTGTCATCAGTAATATTGATAAAACACCTACATGGCTATCTTCTTCAAACATCCTTTACTTCATAACAAATTTATTCAAGAAAAAATAAATATCGTACATCTGTAAAAATTAATCACAGACAAGACTAACCTAACCTAACATAAAACAAATTAATAAATTTTCTAAGAGAACATTCATTCTCAATACAAACTTATGTAATTTTTAGACATAATCAAAAGAACTATTTATAAATTTTCTCCAAGATTCAATTCTCCAAATGAATCTTGAAATCCCAAATTTTTAAAAGAATTTTTCGATGTTTCTTAGGTTAAGTACGACATAAGTACGAACAAGAAATAATGGCAACGATTTTTCACGAAAGAAATGTCAAAAAAGAAACGGAAGGCAACGAAGGAGAAATGTTCACTCGCACTTTCACGTATTATCTACCGTTCGGCGTTATCCCTGCATATAACGAGTGGTATAAACCACTTCCGGTTGGACGAGTTAGCAGCATGCGGGTGAGAAATCTGGGTCAGACCGCTGGTTAGCTTTTCTAGTCGCGTTCTTATCGGTCGTGGTGTTACGCAAATTCAGGTTTGCATTGCGATTTCGAGAGGCGAAAAGGAAAGTACGGGTGCACGCTAAGGGCGATATTTTATATTCATTTTTTATTGGGGACATCTTTCTTCGCTCGACGCGGGAATTTCAAATTGATAAAATGGAGCGTGGCACGCTATCGTTACTTATCTGCAAACTTTATTAATGATTATGGGACGTAGAATGTTATATGCTACGGTAATGTTACATGCCACGATAATGTTATAATGTATGTTTCATAATGTTACGATAATGTAATATATGTCTCATTGTGTTAGGTTAATATTGTTACGTATGTACTATGTTATTATCGCTATCATAGTCTTATAATGTAGATGTTCGTGTTATGATAATTTTATGATATGATGCATTATATCTTTTCAAATTAATTCGAAATTTTTGTTTTTGTAAAATTTGGGAATTTGGGGATTTGGGGGATTTTGGGGGATTTCAAGCAATTTTGGGGAACTTAGGAATTTTTGAGAATTTTGGGGAATTTTGAGGATTTAGGGAATTTGAGAAATTTAAGGGATTTGAGGAATTTGGGAATTTGGGAATTTGGGGATTTGGGGATTTGGGGAATTGGGGATTTGGG